GCCAGCTCTTGCAGATTCCATCCAGCTCTGAAATGTTCTACGTCTCATGGAAAAGTTCTTGAAATTTAATGTTGGGTGGTTAGTCTGTGGAACTGGGGCTGATTTGTAGAAGCCTGGAATGTGCTTGACAATATCACCTCAGTATTTTCTTCTGCTAGAAAAAGAACCAAGCTTCTAAAAGTTAATATGACATTATGCTTTCTAGCTTTAGCACCACTTATAACTACTTTTATTTTGTTGCTGGGTAACTGAGACCCAGAAGTGTTGACTTTGCTTAAAAGAAACAGTCTTGGTGTTTTTTTCTATAATCTTCTCAGAGTGGCTAGAATTGGTGGGAGACCAGGTAACAGTATTTTTGAACCCATGTTATTGGTTTCAGAGCCAGACTGTTGCCTTTTCATAAGGTATTACCATAGAGCAGGGAAAAGTGCCCCCCTAGCTTAGTTCAGTATAAACCCACCATTACAATTTCCAACTGACCTATTCACTAATAGGCTTATGGAAAAGAACTCTGCTAATACCTCTCATCTGTGTTATACACCAGGGTAGGGTTGGATGGTGCAGATGGGTGAACAAGTTATCCTGTTTACCTAGAACTTTCTCAGTTAAGACACTGAAAGTCTTGTGTCCCAGGAAACCCCTCAGTCTTGGGCAAACTGCAAAAGTTGAGCACAAGAAAATGCACTTATGATCCAGAACTCCAGAAAGTCCAAATCCTACCTTGTCTTACTCTCTCAACTCCCCACTGAGGCTCCAAAAGGGGCCATATAAAGAGGAGACAGCAGCAAAGGGTAAATACAGTGTTTTACTTGATCATCAGTTATCAGACTAGGCCAGCCGTGGGCAAACTACAGCCCGCAGGCCGCATCCGGCCTGTTTGAAATGAATAAAACTATTGAAAAAAAAAGACCGTACCCTTTTATGTAATGATATTTACTTTGAATTTCTATTAGTTCACACAAACACTCCATCCATGCTTTTGTTCCGGCCCTCCGGTCCAGTTTAAGAACCCATTGTGGCCCTCGAGTCAAAAAGTTTGCCCACCCCTGGACTAGGCTCATCTCGATAGCTCCGGGAAACCTTGACGGAGCACATGGACAAGTCTAGACACCAAGGGTCTCTATTCCTCCTTCAACACAAATCTAAATCTTAGAAGCTAAGGTCCTTTGGCCTGCAGGAAAAGTAGAAACAGAAGAAGGAAGCAAAGATGAACGGGCTTAGGTCTTTGTGCAAGGAAGAAAGAAAAGATGGCTGGCTCCAGGAGCCTGGGCTCAGTTCTCTCTCCTCATTCAGAAACATGACACACAAGGGAGAGTCACATGTGTATGATCTTTTCTTGCTGAGTGACTCTCATTGGTAAACATGGTGTGATTTATTCTGGAATATTAACGGCATCTCTCCTTAGTGGGGGAGCTGGGAGTGGGAATGGAAGAAGAGGGGGGAGACTTTTCCCCACACTGCTAACAGCAAAACCAAACTAAGAGGCCTGGAAGTGCCATTGTGTGCATATGTGAAATCTCCAAGTCAATTTTGAAATAAATTTTTAAAATCAAACTATTTCAAAGTAATAGAAGCCTTTTTAGTTTCTTTAGTAGACAATTTATTTTGATAACTTGCTCAATAACAAAAATACAAGTGAAGAAAATTATGTTCATTTTGTACATTTTGTATTAACAATTTATTTTGAAACTATTAATTGAAAAGTGTTATAACCAATTACAAAACAATTCTTAATAAAGTTTGGGGTAATATACAGACCTTGATCACAAACTTCAAAATCTCTTGCGGTGATACAATAAGTCCTGTGCAGGGAACCCAACCTACACAGGCCACTTTTTTCCTTCATATATTTTTATCCTTCGAAAATTAGCTCTGAAAGACAGCTTACTGTTTCGTATTGTGAATGTACATTTAATTTTAAAAGAAGATTAAAGTGGGTTGGTAAAACAGTCACTACAGTCAGAGTAACTGTGGCTAGCAGCCTTTTAATGAAGACAAAATCAATGCAACTGTTCTTCCCATGAAGCCCACGATGCAAAACAATAGCTAAGAGTGACCCAAAGCTAGTTCCCAGCACCCTCTCAGGGTCTTCCTCTGTGTCAACAGATCGTGTGTCGCCAGGACTGATCATTTACTCAAGAGATTAAACTGTGAATTTACAGAACATCAAGTGGGGTACCAAAACTTTAGGCAAAGGTGTAAGAAAAAAAATCAATGAAGTCTTTTGGTCATATAGAACACTAAAAGGAAGGGGGGGCGGGGAAAGAGCTATCCTTTAAGAACAAAACAAATGGAACATAAAGTAAGTTTATAAGAAGTAGAAGAGTCAGAAAAATCACATACACACATGGACAACAAAGAACATGGATTACCTTTGGAAAGAATCATACTGAAATGTTGCTTTTAATGAAAGGAAGATTTTCCACATTTACAGGTGTTTAGGCATATTTAATAGGAGCTTCCAAAAAATTCAAACTAATTAAATCCTGTGCAAATAAAACCTATAACTAGTTTTCAGCAGATTTTACAGTGTGTTCTTAGGTATGAGAATACACACTCCAAAAACAATGTAACAGACAAAAGCTTGACGAATGATTGCACCATAAACGAGTGTTTTATATACAGTTTACAAGCTATGATTTCCTGCTATAAATTAATACTGTACTATGCAGTACTTATTGTGACCTTTTAAAAGCAACTGCTGACAGTTGTCTCTTTTCACTTACAGGATGTATAGAATTTTATATGAATGAGTCCATTTCAGTGTCTGGTCTGGAAGAATACAAAGGTCTGACGTCACACACTGTGATGGGCGGTTTTAACCGGGTGCTGACTGGTTGTAGGGAGTTTCCCCCGTCAGTCCTTTATGCACTGGACCTCCGAGATGATGATGAAATTATAGTCAACTGAATGGTTTGGGTAATAGATACAAATAAAACCTTACGCTCTGTCATCCTGCAACGTCACTGTAAGTGACAGAAGTAAACAGTGGGGAAATTCTTAGCAGCTGAGAAACTTTCTCTCCCCATCCTCATGATCCAGTTAAAAATATTTTGAGAAACTATTTACAATAAAATGCATCTTTTTGCAAGAGAAGAACTCTCGGTCATATAATTTGAACCACATTTGCTAACACTTTATCTCAGTGGTATAATGGTGACAACCAAGCTTTCCTTCAAGTGACCCATGGGACTGAGGACCAGTCACAGAAATCCCCCTGGGAATGGCAATCCCAAACGCCCCCAGAACACATCCAGTGGTACTCTCAGTCCTGACCAGACATCACAACACTTGGGGAAAGGAGTCTCTTTCAAGCATCTTCTAAGGTTTCTTTGGCCCTGGGAAGGAAAAGTGTGACACCCCTAACACTCCATGAATGCCTCAGTGGTGGCTCACCTCTTACCCCCCTCTTGAGTGAGCTGCAACACTGGGGTTTTCTTCCACAATAAAATACTGCTGAACTCACAGTGAGATGCAGAAACATGAAGCAAGCCAGCGTGGAAAAGAGCAGCTTCCTCCACTTCGCACTTGGGACACCTGAGGCGGCAGCCCCGCTCTGAAGTGCCCATTCTCCATGACCTAGGCGCCTGAAAAGCAGTGTGTGTGTGAAGCTGTGCTACACGGTGCGTGGGCTTCACAGGGCTCTCCTGCCCGGGACACTCGGGTTGCCATTTCCTCTAAAGAAGAAAACGCTCAGCTCCGTTGGCATGAAAGACCCCCCGCCCACGTTTCCAACAGGAGGTACCTGTAGTGTTCACCTGGAAAACAACTATGCACTGACACGGGGCCTGAGATGTGGAGAAGAGAAGTGTGTATTTTAAAACATGTGGGTTCAGGGCCAGCGGCAATGCTTCTTTAGGAAAAACATAAAGCTGTGGGTTTGCAGCCCTTTAACGTAAATACAGGAAGGTAGCTTTTAGCAAGCACAGGCTTACAGCACATGAAAGACATTGTATCGCTCGGGTTTTGGTAAAGGAGATGTGTTAATAATAATGCCTATGGATGAAAAGAACACACTTAGTTGTTACAGCAGAGTGATTCGG